ATAATACATTTCTCTACAATATATTTATACTAAAAAGGCACACCGCTGAATGATACTCGTATATAGGATTACATCAAGCGATAAACCTGTTCCCCCTTCCCATTTCCATTAGAGAATTGAACCACAGAAAAACAAACACATTGTATTTTGTAAATTGTAAACAAATAATATAGGAAAACCAGTCGAAACGTTAATACCCAGTAATCAAAACTGCGTTGTTTCTATTATTAATGGTGTTGGGAAGCCAGGTGTTCAAAGAGCCAAACAACAGGTACGATTCAAATGGTTTTGTTCATGGACCATGGAAAAGTGTTCTAGCAATCTACTTGATATGCTCAACATTTTAATATACCCTTATACTCTTTGAGTACTGGGTATAAATACTCCCAAAATATGGCCTATGGTTTGTGGCTCTAAAAAGTGAATTACGGCTCAATTGGCTGTTCGATTCGAATGGCCCATAAAGAGAGATAAATGCTGATACGAACACGAACCTCTACTCGTATTCCATGGGCTTCCACGGGCTTCAGCTTTAGTTCTTTGGCCACCCCAACTCATAAATCGTGCGATTATAGACCATTGGCGTCGTACAATAAAGAATACTTTCCAGCCATAATATTTTCCAAGTGCCAGTCACAAATTTTGTGCTCGAAAAAGAGGGAATTACGCTTAAGAGTGAGAGAGAGAGAGGAAAAGGGAGATATTGGCCGGCGACAGGTGAAGTACTGCTGCACATTTTACTGGAAAGTAAACTCAAAAGTCTTGAAGGGTTCCCCATACTACATATGTATGTATATATGTGTATGTATGTAGGTGCGTTTTCTTGTACAAATTATTGATAAGTATAAGTGTTTTAGCATTTTTTTATATTAAGACATTTTCAAGTGTGAAATTGACTTTGGCTGACTTTTTAAAGAGGATTTAATCTGTAAGAAATGAGTCATGTTTAACATGGATTCTCTTTTGATATTAAAACTATCTAAAAGAGGGCTGTGAATCACAGATTTGATATTGGCGTGATATTTGCCGTAAAATGATTCAGAAATAATCATAGATGTTGCAAGTACGTGTAGTCCTTACCATCTTCAATAAATCTGTTGTTCTTTCTATCATTATGGTAAATTTGTTCATTGTTCTGAATCTCTTTATTCTCTCTAGATAATCTTTCCTCTGATTGCTTCATTGATTGCTTAATATTCTCAAGTATAATGTCTCTGTCCTGACACTTGATTTGCCTTGAACCTATCAATATTATCTCCTCAATGTTTTTTTTGTTATCAAATATAATAAGTGTGAAAGTGTGGAAACTTAAGATTGATTCTTTCAAAATGTTTTTTTTTTTACTGAAGAGACTCTTTGAGCTTTAAACAAAGGAATAAACAATAAAAAAAACTCTTATCGGAAAAACGTCCCGCACACGCCATGTATATTGTTTTTGTACTGTTCTAGGGCATTCTCTTCGCTTGTGCGTTTCGAGTCGAGCATCTGTGTCGTGTGGGAGCAATGGGAGTCGTTGGATACAGATTAAAAGCCAGATTCTAGTTGTAAGAAATGTTTTATTAGAAATCAAGGACCAAACAAAATGTGCACACCTCAAAGATCCATTGATCTTCTATATCGTCTTGTATCTGTGACCTTTAGTCTCTCCTAAGTACTTACTAATGCACTCACTTTTCATTCCATTGCCTGAAAGAGTTTTACCCAAGTACTCTCCATATTTGTAACCTTATACTCGTGGACACACAGTATCTATTAGAGTCAAAAGCTCTCTGACTTCTCTGACGATTTATGATACACACATTGCATATAAGCTGCTTAAATATTTACTCAAATTGTTTTAGTATTTAAGCAACTACCGAGCACTGCAGTCAGCCAGACCCGCCCCCCTCCCTGCCACTGAGCATCTTTCATTAGGAAAACTAACAGACGGGCAGATAGAACACCTAGAGAAAGACAGAGTGCCGGCGATTGGGAGAAACAGAAGCTACAGCAACTCGTAAATTGGTATCCCCAAAAGCCATGTGCGGTGGAGACGACATGTCGCCAAACTGAGCAAACACTCACGTGAGATCCACAGACGAATGTGGAGATGCCGATGCTTTGGGGCTGTTGTCGCGGAGGGGCTATCTATTTGCTTGGGGGCCACAAAAGCTTAATTAACAATTTCAAGTGTGTCTGTTCGAGCTTTTGGGTTTTTTTATTTGTGCTGGAGATATATCCCCGAGCCGAGCATTCAAGCCATAAATGAACCAAAAAGAACCACAAGTCCATTGTTTGGTGTGTATTTTATTATTTATCCAATCGAATCGAATGATTTGAATATTATTTTGTAAGGCTTCAAAGTTTAAATCAATGGAGATTGAGAGGAGCTTCCAAGTTTAAGTCAATAGATCTTTAGAGGACCTTGAGATGTGACTTTGTAAAAGCAAAATCTTTATATATTTTATGGTAGATAAAAACCCAACCTGTTACTCCTAAGCCACACAGGGAAAGGGAGAAGACATTTTTAACACTTGACACTAAACTCTTTAATGTTGGGTTTTATTTCGGCTATTCTATATCCAGATGCGACAATATTGCTTCCAATGCATAACGATGCTTTATCATAAATGTTTTCCACTGGTCACTTCCACATCGCGTGCCAAGAAAACGTGATGATTTTCCCAGTTAAAGAAACATCAAACTACGAGTACCCGAATCAATATTGTACGTACTATTCGTAGACTTGCGTTTGGGGGCACACTTGGGGGCACCAACAAATAGTATCGTCAATTAGTGTTATTGTCGTTGTCGCTGTCGCTGTCGTTGGACAATTCCCAGATAGTTGTGTGTACAACGATCCATTAATTCGTTGCCACAACTTTAATTGACATTGAAAATTGTAAAGTGCGGCATGCGACAATACGAGTGGTCCAAAGATCTCTTACATAAAGAGGGGAATGAAACCTGATCAAGATATGTATGTATGTTTTCCAGATGATAATCTTTATCAATGAACTATCATCAATAACTAATTTGCATGGGCCTGTCGGAATGCAAAAGGTTTCATTGTATTTCTGTTTGTTTTAATTAAAAAATGGAACAAAGTTCATGCAACAATTTTCCATTTGCCTTTGGGGAAGGCGGGTTTTCAATTATAACTGTTCTCTTGATTATTAGCTCATGGAATATTTTTCCCTCTTTTCATGAAAACTCACTATTTGATGTTAAGCCACACTGGGAGAGTGACAGAGAGGGGGAGAGAGATGTGGGGGCAAGGAGGAGCAGAGAATTTCCCCATTGTTTCTCGTTTTTAATTAAGCGAGAAAACAGAAACACGCAGAAAACAAAACAATCAACAAATAAACAAGAAAATAATTATAAATGCAAAACAATATACGATATACATACTTAATCGAGAAATTGAAATCAAAAATCGAGACATGAGCAAACTGTGACATGAAAATACGATACGTACGAGATTTCCGAAAAAAGGAGAAATTATGGTAATTAAAAGTAAGATAAAAGGTTGTATTTGTTTTTTAAGGAAGCGCAAATTACGAGCGCACACACACAAAAGACAAATAAAACAAACAAACAAATAACTCAAAAGTAAAACAAAGAAAACATCATGCAGGATGCTGGAATGATCAGATATTGTTAGGAGAGAGAGAGAATCATATTATTTTTGTTGGATTGGATTGTTAATTGACTTTTGGGGCCCTGGGGGCTAGGATTTCGCGTATAGTTATTATAATAATAATATCTACTCGTCTAATGAGGCTTATTTCGTATGATACTCGTATGATAGACAATCTGCTAATGGCCTGCGTGGTATACCCCCGAAGGCTAAAAAGAGATCGAGCCACAGAGTCGGGGGCGTCGTCTGAGCCAATGACTTGGCAACGGGAGGTCGAGGTCGGGGTCACGTACGATACACGGTCAGTGAAGGTCAATCTATGGCAGAAGAGAGGAATAAACACTGGGAATACCATGAATCTTATTTTTGTTTAGCTACTGAAAGAATGCTAAATTCTATAGATATCTGTTGTATTTGTTTCCTTACTGCAAGTCTCCCACCTTTATTGTTTCCCCATCTCTCTCTCTTCCAGTGTGGCTTTGCAGTGAAAATCTTTGTAGGAAACACGTTTTCATTTGTATTATAAGTGACAAGTTTTACTTTAAAAGCTTTTTATGATAAAAGTCTTTAAAGCTGTTTACATTTTTCTTTCAGTCGATAAAAATCTTAAAATGTTTTCCTGGTTTCAGAATTTTCTTATCACAGATGAAATTTATGTATTACTCATTCAGAATGGAAGCAAAGTTTAGGGAAAATTGAAGGAAAGTGTGTGTTAGATAAGGTCTGAACCTAAAAAAAACTAATTTCGAAAACAGACATTTTTAAACCCCAAATAAATGTTTCCCATAATTGGCATTCCTCATAGAATGTCTCTTCCATGTAAAAAGGCTTTTCTAAAGAGTTTCAACTTTTTTAAAAGCAAAACATTATCTTTTTCTTTATTGTTAAACTTCCAAAATAAAAATTTCAGACCCACAGTCAATCAGTAATGGCCTAAAACTCGGGCATATTATACAGGTCGCGCGTAATGCGGCAGCGCCCCTCAGTCGTAACAAGTTTGGGCTACGGCTTAGGCCACTCAACCTTAACGGTCCTAATATGATGAATGGACCATTGCCAAGCTTTTGTAAAGAAATAAACCAGAAAAAAACCTCAACGATTCTCCTCACAGCAGGAACGATTCGATTGGGAATCGGATCCATTTGTAAGTTTCATTTGTAAGTATCTTTCGAATGAGTGTTTTGGGTGTGTTTCATGCCATCAAATTAATCACAAGTTTCGACATTTGTTAGTTAAACATTTGCATTCCCAAGGGACATTTGCTGGGGAAGGGGTTCTCTTTAATCGGATGCAGATTTTAATTGTTTAGTCACGTGGCAAGGCAAGGCATGGCGTTTGTTAAACACGAAGGAGAGATTCTCGCAGAGAGTCTCGGACGAACCTGTTTTTGAAATTATCTGGCACAAATATATTCCACCAGGAGTGTCGCTTCTCGCGCGGAAAGTACTCCCCATGCTCGCGGGGATCAATGATATCATCGTCCTCGTTCTCCTCCTCGTCATCGGCATGCCGGGCAACGCTACTATCGTTCGTGAGGTCGCTCTGGGACTCGCTGTAGGTCATGCCCGCCGTGGAGTCGAGACTCCGCTGATTTATGTACTCCATTTTCTTGCGCCGATGGCGATCAAGTTTCGTCTGCAGGGAGCTGCGACGACGACGCTGGGGCGCCGCCTCATAGGAGGAGTTAAGGCCCTGGAGCACAGGACGCGGCGTCTGGCTGCCATCCTCAAAATATGTCTGTTTGCCGGGGTCATTCGGGGAACTGGCGCGTATATTCTCCTCCGAGCTGTATACAGGGATCTCGGGACTGTTGGTGGGAGTGCCACTGCCGTCGCTCTTCTCGCTGCGCACAGCCGATTCATACGAGTCTTTGGTAGAGTTCTGCCAAGAAGAGAAGAAAATATTTGCGCTATAGATACTACAGATCTTAGGTCTTTGGGTAACAGATCCTTACCTTACTGCTATCGCGACGTAGAAAAGAGACTGCAATGGAGCTGCGTCTCTTTTGGCTTTTGTCCGATTTGAGGCCCGAGAAGAGGCCCAGCGCCAGGGAACTGCGTCGCGGCGGCTTTTGGGGCGGCAGTGGGGCTGTGATGTTCAGGCTGCTCTCATCGGCGGCATCGCCTTCGTGCTCGTCGATGTTCACCAGCGATGGTATCGAGGCGCTGGCCCAGTCTTTGCGCAGGCGATACTTTCCGTTATCGATGATGCTCATGTTGTGGCTATCAGATATCGGAAATCGGATATCGTCTATCGGTTCTGGTTTCACTCGCTTAATCGGGGGAGTGAGAGTTTACCGCTATGCGCTGCAAATATTGTTTATTATTCGATTAATTATCGATATATCTTTCTCTGCTAATTTCTGCGCTCCAATTGTTGTCTCTCTCTTTCTCTCTCTCTCTGTCTCTGTTGCTGCGGTTGCAAAACTTTTACTTTCAATGAACCCCATTGAACCGAACATTAGCGTGGTAATTAGCAGGCCGTTGTCGGTCGACTGGAACGACTGTAACGACTGTCGTTGTTGTTGTCATTGTCGGGGCGTTGACAACAAAAGGCAACCCACAGCGATATCTGCCTGGAAATATCTGGTCATAAGTGCAACGGTGGCGCACGAGAGTCTATCCATCAAATGGGGCTTACCACAGGGATCAGACAAGAAGGATCACAGAAGAGGGAAATCAGAGAAAAAGGGGATCAGACCTTGGGTTGCTTATGGGATCAGAAAGCGATCCATAAATACCTTACTGATCGAGAAGGGGGGACCACAAGAATTGATCTTTTATTGAACTTTGGAGGGGAATCTGCAGAGGAGAGCAAAAACATCCGAAACTTAGGTGTCAAAAACGAAGCAAACATTAAAACGAAACAGTTAAAACTGACTCGAAACGGAGGTAGGTAAGATCATGAGTGGAATTCTAAGCTCTCTAAAGAACTCATCACAAAAAACATATACAGAATAATTTGTTCGAATTCATCAAGGTTCATTGGTTCCTTGGTCTGTAGAGCTGCGAAAAACTACACTCGTTGTAGCGAGAATCCTCTCACTTTTATCCCCCCACTAAATATTACACCATATTACGCTTCAAATAATGATATATTAGCCACTCCATTAGCAGGGGAGCAGAGGAATGTACATAAGTGGGAGCCACTGCCACAGCCACAGCCAGAGCAAAAAAGTTAAAAAGTTAATTATGCAAATTAAATGAAAAACTTCATGACATCATAGTCGTACGCATACTCGTATGAGTCGTCGCTTTTTGCGGGGCCCATAACAATGGGAGATACAGAGATACAAAACACAACCTACGACAACAATCGACGCGACATACAGGGCCTGTAGGTAGAGAGGCAGGCAGGGCAGGGAAGGGTGTTGAGCCATGGCTTATTACAGAAACCAGCACGAAAGATTCAATGAACAACAAATGATGATTATACGATGACGATGACTGACTGAGAATCGCGGACTTTGCTGCGAAACTGAAAGTGCTTCCCGCCCTAGAACTTGGCTTACAAGTGTATCTCGTGGATATACTCTCGCACGAAATGTAGAGAACAATAGATACGACAGCGTCAAGTGATTTAAGGGGCGTCTCTACAGATGTTTGTACCCCTACACATACGTACGTACAGGAAGATACAGATACATCTCTAAACAGTTGTCAGATGCCACAATTTAACGCCAAATCAAACGCCACGCCACGCCACAGTCGTGTGTATAAATTTTCAATTCCCACGTTTTGTTCGGGAGATCTTTGAGATTAAAGCCAATTATACCCTTGAAGAGGCAGGGTATTAGAGGCTTTGCAGAGAGGTTTGCCAAGAGGTTTCGTTTTGAAATATTGTGCTGATATGAGTACTCTCTTAATGCTGGAGGTTCCAGCTCATAGATATTTCAAAGATATTCCAACAAAACTTCACAAACTATAGGTCTGTATCTCTATCTATGATTCTATGATACAAAAGGGGGAGATCCGTAAAGAAAGATTGAATTTTTGGGATATTCATAACTTTTCATTGAATGTATCATATAAATTGTATTTTCTGGAAGAATCTATCTTTTAGGGTAACCGACACTTCAATTCCAGAGTCTACTACTTTCCGTTTATGTAAATTGGTTGCCAAGTCCCACGTTTACCAGAGATCTTAGTGAGCGCATCTAAATTAATAGTTAATGCTGCTAAGGGATCGGGGAATCGAGGCAATCGAGTGAGCAGAAAGGTGGCTAATTGTCGGCTCAGGTCATTAGACCCCACACGACAACCGACAGCCGAGAACCGCGAGTCTCGTCGGGGCTCGTTGTGAATCGAGTGTCAAGATTTGTGGGACTTGTTTGTGGGGCTTGTCCATGCCTCAAGTATTGCCCCTAACTCAAATGATTAGATCCCCACTTAAGAGCCCATAAGTGGGGGGGTTTTACATGTGCATGTCCCTGGTATTATCTTTGGAGAAGCGTCAAAACACTTGAAAAAACTCACACCGAAGGCACTTCCAGGGAGGGGCCCTGGACATGGATCTAAATCTGATTCCACCATTCATGCATATAGGAAACAAGCAATTTGAATATGGTAGTAGCTAAGATGTCCCATAAAAAAGGTAACCTTGAAACTCAAAATTCATACAAAAAAAAAAATAACGACCGGTTGTGGTCGTGCTCCGGTCGTGCTCCGGTCGCTCCAAGCTGTTTACACTGTAAGCCGGAACGGAACGGAACGATGGACGGACGCTCTCATGAAGTGCAGTAAAAATGATAAAAGTTCACGCTTCACGTAATATAGAGGCGGCTCTGTCTCTGGGTCCAGCTCTTGGCCATCTCCATAATTCAAAGAGTCCGCATATTGATGGGGTCGTCAATCTACGATTGTGCAATTGTGCAATATCCCGCCGCATAAATGAATAAAACTCTCAATTTTGGGGGTGCCTCACTCCGCACTGTGTCAATGTCATGGCAATTCAAGCGGACAAAGCCAAACATTCGACTCTTTGGCCCACTATTCGTATTTCTGTTCACCCAGGAGGTTATTCATCTTTCTCTCTTTCGATCCGATCCCATTCGATTCGATTCCATTCCCATGGAAAATGTGTGGAAAATGGAAAATTTTCCAATGCAAAACTCACAAGAATGGAAAAATACAGCACGTGATAAGCAATTGTCGGCCTGATAAGGTCGCAATCGCAGTGCCAGTCCGCACGAGAGCTGTCGTTCGATGTTTTTTCTATGGGGATGGAGTAGGCGGAGTATTGAGAGGAGCAGATTTGTGTGTGGCCTATAAATACATCTTTGAAGGGGGTACGGTAGGCAGAGCAAGTCGTAGTAGTTCGACGTGAAGATACCCCTTTACTTGGAATTGATAGACAGAAATATATCTGGGGGTGAAGAAACATCCACCTACTCTGAAATTTTTAAGATAGTCTAACAATAGATCTATAAATATAACTTCCATATGTAAAGATCTATTTATTCTAGTATATAATTTTAAAATAGAAAAATACACCCCTTAAATTCGACAAGTAATGGGTGTCAAAACATCATTATGATGATCCACTGGAGGCACTGGAGCCACAGAATCTCTGCCTTGTGTTTCAGTTGCAGCTACAATTTGCAATGTATTGCAAGGTCCAATGAAAAAATCTACTGATAAACTGTGTGGATGGGGGAACGATGGTCATCGTTCATTAAATGTGAAAACTTTTCCACATTCCGATTAAAAACAAGCAAAAGGAGAGGCCGAAAAGGCGTATTTTAATATAGAGTCAAAGGACGGAAACAGAACATTCAATGGAGGGAACAATCAATGATGATTGCAGCGGAATTCTACACTTTGTGTGGCCTTCAAGCCAGCGGCAGTTAAAGTGTCGATTGGTTTTTGATTTATAGCCCACGTGAAGTGGTTAATCTTTCAGCTTTAAGTTTATGATCCCGGGGAAATCCTATAAACAGAATATACATAGCTGATAAGTAGAGAGGATCAGATACAAGAGTCGATTCAATCAGTGGATGTTAACCGATTATTTTTGGTTTAATCGAGTTTAATACAAACTAATTGATTCTGGTAAACAATACTCGATTATAGAATATAAATATCGTGCCCATAAGGGTAATATTTCTGTTTAGGATCGATTTAGAACATAATATTCGACTGCATAGCACAAAAATCGATCGTAAACTCATCGGGAATGTTCCACCACTCGAATATCAGCCACTTTAAGTGGGCTATAAACCCAAATTGTTAACGAAATTTAAGCCTACTTTCGTCCCGAGTGGGGGCAGCAGATCAGCCATTAAATCGCACTTTCGTTTTCCGAAAGAAGCTAACAAAAGCATACGCATGTATCTCACAGATACACACACACACACACACAACGCAGAGGCATGCAGTAGGTGCACACGTTATGGGGCCAAATGAAATGAAATGCGAACAGGCAGGGGAGAAGGAGAAGCAGAAGCAGAAGCAGAGACTAACATGCAACAGAAAACATGGATATAAATAAACGGGGAGCCACTCAGACAGACTGCCAGCCTCAACAATGGATACAGCAAAAAGATACAAATGTATCTACACACACAAGAGACACGATACCCGACAATTGGCGGATCGGATAAGTCGCGTGTGTGCAGTGCATGTGTAAACGATCTGCTGCTGACGTTGTGCTGAAGTTATTTGCAACATTATGTGGCATAAAGCGGCAAGCAAGAACTAGATGGAATAGTCACCCAGAAGTATCTCTAAATGTATGTATGTATGCATATTTTCATACGAATATATACTTTTGCCGCGCTTGATTCGGTTGAACTAACAATTAGCTAATAAATAGCCATTATAGCCATTCATTTTCGATGTCCCAAAAAAATCCTCCAAAGCGCCGAAGGGAGAGTTGACAACTCTCTATAAATAGATACTGTCTTGGGTTGTCAACTGTCACCCGAAATTAAGCCAAGAATTAATTGGATTTATGATCTGTTTTGTCCGGCAAAAGCAGCAAAGGCAAACCGCAATGAAAACCGATATGAAAACCGAAAAAACTGGTCGCTTTTGGAGTCGTTGAACTGTAAAGATACAAATGTATCTACATGTGTGCCGTACAGTGCTACCGTTTTTGCAGCGGGCGTTGTCATTAGCCAAAGTGTCAAGTGGTCGACAGCCAGAAAGACAGACAGCAGCAGAAAACACACCAACAACAACCAATTGACATTTACTACTGTTGGTGCTGGTGCTGTAGGTGCCGCAGCCAGTATTCAGTATCTGCAAGATACCAGATACTTCTGTTTTGTTTGGGCTAGCTGCTCGCATTTCCCTTTTCGGTATCC